ATCCATCCATCCATCCATCCATCCATCCATCCATCCATCCATCCATCCATCCACCCAGTCAGTTCATTTACTTACTATGCATTCCCAGCGTACAGGCCAGCTCACAGCAATTAACAATAGAACTGATCATCAATTAGGATCCAAAGTTTTGTATTATCTTTATAAATTATGCCTTGAGGTTTTTCTGGAAAGCAGATGGATGGTGAGACTAAATTCAGAGAGTTGGATCCACCACCCCAAATGGCTGGAGTCCTAGTTGAGTTCAAGAGGGCTTCTGTCCAAGCCACCCAGACCCAAGGCCCTTGTTCACAAGACAGCTCCTGGATAATTGTTCCTGCCACTGTGCTAGCAACAACTGGGCCAAAAATGTTCTGCTCTGCAGCAATGACAGGGTGGAGAACCGCAGCTCCTTCACCAGGAGTGAGAAAGAAATGACATACGCAGCTGCTTGCTAACATCACCATGGTGTACTGTGTACGGTTCTGGGCACCCCATTTCCAGAATGATATGGGCAGGGTAGGGGGTTCAGAGGAGGGCAACAAAGAGGAGATATGGACTCAAGGACCTGCCCGTGAGGACAAGCTGGAGGAACTTGAGATGTTCAGTCTGGAGAAAAGAAGATGGAGGGGAGACATGATAGCCATATTCAGTTATATAAAGGGAGGCCCCAGGGAAGACGGTCAAGAACTATTTTCCATGGCCACAGAAATTAGGACCAGAAATAAGGAGTCTAGTTGCCGATATCTAACTTTGTTTAAATACAAGGGGAAAAAATGTTGATGATACATTGGGGGTTCTCCATCTGTGGAAGTTTTAAGAAGAAGCTGGATGGCTTCCTTTAAGGATGGTTTAATTGGTTTCCCTGCACATTGTGGAGGGCTGGATTTTAGGGTTTCTCTTCTCCCATAGAGCATGGACAAAAACACAGTCCATTTTCATAGCCTGTAAAAGGGGCTGGTGAGTTGGATATTCCATTCTGTGTGCTAAAACAAGTGCAACATAGAAACATAGGCGTCCAGCAGAGGTCCTGATGACTTCACGTCTGGTGTGACATCACTGCCCATCTGAGTAATGATGTCAGAAGCTCATGACCTCACTTCCCCCATTGCCCCCTTCCAGCAATAGAAATAGAATAGTGAGAATAGTTTCTAATCCTTTCCCTGATCCACTAATTTTTCTAACATCAAATTTCCCTGCCCTGGGAAAATGGCTCCAAAACAATTGAGGGCTGCTCTTCAGAATTCCAGCCAGGTGGCCATTCTCCACATTCTGGTGGGTGAGCAGAATCTGGGCAGACTTCTCCAGATCAATATTTAATTAAAGAACTAAAGACTGATGGATGCTCAATGACCCTTTCTGCTTGGGGAGGAAAAGAGTTGCATGGCAGGGTGGGGAGAGGTGTGCTACAGAATGGAAAGGGCGATCGATGGCCATTAACGTGAATGTTATCTCACCCATAATGAATTGAGGACTGGACTTTTGCTGACTAAACAAGCAGGGATGATACAGAGGACGATGGGAGGAAGAAAAACCTGGGAAAAAGGCATCTTGACACAGTTCTTCAGAAATGTGCTCCACACACCAGCCTCATTGGACAGGACATTTTATTTCAACGGGTGGAGTTTCTGCTGATCTCTGCCCCACGTTTAAAAAGGAAAACCAGCCCCTAGCCCGTCACAGAGCAAGGTGAGTTTTCTTCCTCCAATGCTAGATTTCTACTTGTACGGGGCTATTTATGGAAAGAACATTCCATTGGCTTAATTCGTTTTTGATTCCTGTTAGATGCTGTGACTTACCAGTACAATTCCTTTCATCACTGCTGTCTGGACAGTCTAGGAAACCATCACATCGTTCTGCCTTCATGATGCAAGCCTCTCCGTCTTCGCATTTAAATCCACTAGGGCATAGCAAGGTGCTGTGAGTCGCTGGAAGACAGAAAGAACATACAACACTTATGTCTTATAACAAGAAGACTGGGAGGGCCTACTCAGTTGCCTTGCGCTAAGTAATCTGATGCCGTATTTTGAATAACAGAAGCATTCCTGGATTTTGGTCCAGCCTCTTTTCCTGAAAGCCTAGATCTTTTCATCAGGGACACTGGAGATTGAACTCAACACCCCCTAGCTACAAAGCATTATTCTTGTCCAATATCTGTTACATCTATACAGCCACTCATTGACAAACATTCTCTGGGTAGCTTATAAAACAGAATAAACAGCATTCTAATATCAAAAATACAAAATTCAACCATTAAAAAAACAAAACCAGATCAGCATACAGGTTTCTTGTAGCCAGTGATATAGTAAATGTGTAGCTCAGGTTTTTAAAAAAATCGCATAAAGCTCATGAGAGGCCCAAGTTAGTTTAATGTACAAGGCCTAGTGATTTTTTTTTTTTTTTAAAGACCTCACCACAGATGGTTTTTCCAGTAGTAATGTATGGCTGTGAGAGCTGGACCATAAAGAAGGCTGAATGGA